ATCGGTACTACGTTTGAGATAGAGAATATTATGTCCATTCAAAGCAGAGTTACTGTAGGTAGCGAAGGCAACGTTCATATATAAGCAGGTTTTGGAACATGAAAAGACAATAACAGGTCATATTACTAAATTTAATTAGTGAAGTCATATGATTTCACTATTGAACTAAGTACAGTTAAACCTCTCTAAATACATGCCCTTGGGACCACACTTTAACAAAATGCATTTAGAGAATAATATGAAAAAGTTCATTTATAAAGTCAATAAGCTGGAACCTGTGTGTGCATTTAGAGAGTGTGTGCACTTATAGAGGGCGCACTCAGAGAGGGGTCTGACTGTAATATGACCTATTATGGCGTATGAGTGCTGCCAAAAAGAAAGCATGCCATCGGGATTTATTGCATTCCGTTCCTGAAATAATCCAGTATCTTTCATTCGGTGTAACGCTGATGACTATACTTTTGGCAATCTAATCGAATCTAACACTACGCAAAACATTAATAAACTAATATACTTCGACAAAGGTGTGTGTTTAATTTGGTCCGAGGAATTAGGATTTTACACCAACGAAACTTGCTGCGGAGGTTACGGGATCCGAAAATGGACTCAACAGTTAAGTACTACATTTAAACCCTCTAAATGCCCGCCCTTGGGACTACACTTTAACACGTGCTTTTTATAGAGGTCAAGTATATACAGTCAGACCTCTCTAAGTGCATCCTCTATAAGTGCACCTTTTCTAAATGAACACTCAAGCTCTGGCCCATATATATGGGGTATTTGCTAGGAAAACCACAGTTAGAGAATATTTAGATTTTGACAATAAAATTTGAAATTGCTATCTATTAATCCAATTTTGAATAAACTCTTTTTTACTTTATTAAGCTTTTTGATCTTTATAAAATAAAAAAAAGTTTATTCAAATTGGATTTAGCTAGCAATTTCAAATTTTATTGTCAAAATCTAAATAGTCTCTAACTGTGGTTTTCCTAGCAAAGACCCCATATACTTGACCTCTATAAATGCACTTTTTCTTATTATTCTCTAAATGCACGTTGTTAAAGTGTGGTCCCAAAGGCGTGCATTTAGAGAGGTTAACTGTATCACTATCGCTATCGCTATTACTATGATTACACACAAAAATATCGGGGTCCTCAATTCTGGCAAGACAGTTCTTGCGATTTGGCAGATAATGATTGACATAACCGGAAATAGGGCTGCGGCTACGTCATGTGGGAATCAGAAAATTTTGCCGGAGGTCACAATACAATAGTGTATTCCGTTGTGTTTGTATGATCGAGTGATAAATAAAAATTACATATTTGGGCGGTTTCGCCACCCAGGTTCAACTAATAATTAAACAGATAACATTTCTAGTTGTTAATCATTTGATGTTTATTTAATTTATAATCAAAAAAATTTGTTAAATCTTTCTTTAAGTTACTAAAATATTGAAAATTAGAGCAAATTACTATATTTATAAGCATATCCCATATTCTACATCAGGCTACGCATATCTTAGGAATGCAATTATCAAACTAGAAATACATATTTATAATATAGTCAAACCTCTCTAAATGCACGCCATTGGGGCCACACTTTAACAACGTGAATTTAGAGGATATTAAGAAAAGGTGCATTTATAGAGGTCAAGTATAGATTTACGCCAGAACTTAAGTGCATTTAGAGAGGGTGTTCACTTATAGGGGGGTGCACTCAGAGTGGTCTGACTGTGCATAAATAACCCTTACTCTCATCCTTCAATCAATTATTACCTCTCCACCAGCCAAGCAACAAAAAAATAACGCTTCAAAAAAATAGAACAAAGAACATATAGACCAAACAATACTCCAATCATTACCAGTAATTTCTAATATCCATCCTGTTAATGCAACACCAAAAAAAGCCGGTACCGCCGCACAAGTATATGCTAAGCCAGATATTAAACCCGCGTATTTTGGTGCAATATCCATCTAGAATTGATAATGGTTTAATTTTATATTAAATGAATCATTTAATTAAGCCCAATATTAATTAATTACCGGAGATACATTTGTACTCGAAATTTCGAATGAATATAATCCAAATCCAATCGTTATTATCGATAATCCTTGAAGTGAAGTTTTTGCCAAATATGTTGCCTGTAAATTATATATATAAGTTAAAGAAAAAATAAATGAAATGGCAGGATTCAGAATTGGCAGATGCAGAAACTTGGATCTTGATTTGAAACTATAAAAGCTTACAAATCCACATATATTTTTTATCGTAAACTCTAAACATTAAATCCTAGCCTAATATTAAAGAAACATTAAAAAAAAAAAAGCCACAAAAAAATTTAAAATTTCATACAGAAATAGGTCTAAATTTCAGCATCAGCAAATTTCATCAACAATCGTAACAATAAATAAAAAATAAGTTTGCAATCTTCTTAATGCTTACAAATAAAAGAGATATTGTTATTCCAAGCATTCCAATTAGATTAACGGATCTTCTTACAGTTAAAACACGAATATTTAATTGATGAATCGCATAATCACAGATATAACCGGATGTAAATCCCATTATAATGTAGAAAAAATAAGGGAAAGCTAAAAATTTGAAATTTATCAATACAATATGAAAGTATTAATAGTAAGGTCATGCAAATTAGATAGTTGTCTCTCGTTACATGGGACAAGCAAATAAGACACGGCCGGCCGGCAAAAAGTGTTATATTTAAAAAATTTTGAATATAATAAATTTGTATTAATATATTTGTAGCCACGGCTACCAGGCAATCAAATTTCAAGATCAGATGAACGCGAAACCAAAAAAATTTGCAATATCACAAAATTTTGACAATAAAACCATCTTATACGTCCTAACAAAAATTTTCAGGCTAAATTTTGGCATAAACTATGCTTGCGCCAACCCTAATCTCACGCCTTAATCGTGAAGTCTTGATTTTATAAAAAAAGTTGGTTTGATAATAAAGTTACAACTGATCTTTATTTACGGCTACATGCAGCCTATGACTACAAATATATTAATTCAAAAAAGTTTTTTAAATTTTTTTTTTTATACCTGAATAAAAAAATTTAACTTTTCTAAAAAAGTGACCTGGCCGGATAACGAGAAACAATTTTATTTGTTTGCATGACCTAATATTAAGATTTCTTACCAGTGTAATATCCAATTAAATTAATGTCTACATGAAAATATTCATAATAAAATATTGGTAGCCAATTAAGCAGTATAAAATAGCCCCAAGAATCAAAAAATTGACCAAGTACAATTGCCCACACTTCACGACGAGAAAATATTAATTTCCAAGGAATTTTGGTTATAGAATGAGATCCTGATGACATTTGATTTTCTGGTAATAACGTATCATTTTCGGTTTGAACAATTCCACGATCATCGTCAGTAATCGTAATATATTCTCTGGATCCTGATTGATAGTTTTCAAAATTATCTTCTGAATAAGAACTTGATTTACTTTTTAAAATCCAATCTAATTCTTCTTTGCTGATTCCTAAATAATCTCTAGGATCACTTTTTCCATAAAATTGCCAAATAACAGACCAAATAAAGCCACAAATTGCAAATACCCAAAAAATGCTTTCCCAGCCAAATTGACTCGAACCCAACATATTGGAAATTGGCATGGCGATTGCCATACCAATAAAAATAGAAACAGATATTATCGAAACAGCTCTAGATCGTTCTTCAGGTGGAAACCATTTTGTGATTAAAGATGCAATACACGGAAAAGTTACACCTTCACCAATTCCTAAGCAAATTCTACACAATATAAGACAGTATATGTTTACTCTGGCAGAAATTGGAGTAAGTAAAGTAAAGAGTGTCCAAATTGCGGCAGCTGAAATAAATAATTCGGAAATAACCAACATAAATATATATATATTTAAACAATATATCTCTTAGAATATTACTCACCTACGCCTAATACTCTCCTACCCCCGAATTTATCTGCAAGCACGCCTCCTATAAATTGAGATGCAAAATATCCAAAATAAAATGATGACAATATATAACCTTGTATACTATGACCCCAATTAAATTCCTTAGCCATATAAACTATGGCAATTGACATATTTGAACGATCTTTTATGAAGAAATAAATAATTTAATGAGTAAGTTTGACAAGTTATTAAAGACAAAGATTTAGCATTGTAATATACCAGCATAGCTGATGATAACAGCAAAAATACAAAGAATAATAGTTATAATTCGTTTCGGAATATAACCAGGCCGCCAGTTACTAAATTTTTCAAATAAATTAGGGTATATAAATAATATAACACTTGGAAACAATAACTACGTAGGTATTAATACCACGATGAGTCTACGTTAATGGGCATACTTTCAGTATTGTACGTAAGGTTACAGTATCACCTATAAATGAATGTATGCAGTACTAATACCGGATACGACAGGAGGGTCCTTTGTTATGCCTAATTAAGGTACGCTTAAACTCATACAGGGGCCCCAAAATTCCGTGTCGGAATATTTCAGTGTATCGGAATCATGGTCGACTGGATCGGAATTGATCAATTTTGCCCAAGATCATTTAAAAATTTACTTATCCATTCATCAAGTAAAAAATCCCAGCTGATAATTTTGCTATAGAGCCTGTTAACAACTAGAACTAAACGCCGACCTAGATCCGACGTGTCCAACCCGGAAATTTGAAGATATTTTCCGACTTGATTCCGGAGTACAATATTCACCAATCAGAATCATCTCCTTTTTAAAATTTTGAATTTTTTTTTTAAACTTCTAGCGAAGATTTCTCAATAACGATTTGATCAAATTCAGTAAAAATTTTGTATTTTAATTTTATACATTTGTAAATTGAAATAAAAAAAATTTATTTGAATTTAATTTAGTGGTTATCAAGAAACCTTTGCTTGAAGATTTAAAAAAAACTTGAAATTTTAACCAAAATTTAATTGTTGCAAATTTTCTTTTTTAAACTTTAAACAATGACTGCAGTTCGATAGTGCAGTGGTTAACACTCCGGGTATAATCGCAAGGTCGTGGGTTTGAATCCCACCGGGGAACAAGGCTTGCAAGGATCATGATTGATTGATCTTTGAGGATCCAGATAAATCAAAGAAGAACAAGATTTACACTAATGCATTCACTGGCATAACCATGGGGTCAGGGCATAATCCATCAACTAATAACATTAAAATTGAGTAAATCTAGCTTAAAAGGATTAAAATTGGAAAGAACTTTAATATATAAAAGGACAATCCAGCTAATAGGTTAAGGAACTGTGAATCTCAAAATCAGAGATCCTGCACCGCATGACCAGGGACCCAGAACGTCAAATGATAGAGCATGAGCTATCTCATGAGTACAGTAAAAAATAGAGGCCACATGCCGGCTATCGATCCCTGCAAAAAGAATAACCCTGGTCTTTAGGGAGTGAGAAAGATCCTAAAAGTATCTAAGGACCTTCAGGTTAGTAAAGAAAGGTTAAAAAAACTTCAAATGATAATTTCTTGATTAAAATTCAATAAAATTTTTTTATTTTAATTCTATGAATTTGTAAAAAATTTTATCAAATTTGAATAAGTATACATTGAGAAACATTTAAAAAATTAGTAGCAGTTTTATTTACAGATACCTAAACTTTGAATAAAGGTTGCTCAACACTTGCCTGATCATAATTATAGTATTAAAATAAAAAAAATTATCAGATTTGATTAGAAAAGCTTAGAACAATTTTTATTCAAAGTTTAGCATCCATAAAAAAAACTATGGCTAAATTTTTTTAATGCTTAATCAATATTCTCAACATTCTACTTTGCAACTAGTTAGGTGTTCCAGAATTTATGTCGAATTATAAATTACAATAAGTTACATGTATCAAGGATTGTGTGACAGAATTTTTACGTGCCTCGCTAGACATTGTACAACTAACAATTAGAACAATAAACAAAAGTGCTAGCAACATAACTGTGATTTATGAACAAAATCATGTTTAAAAATTATTGGCTGATCTTGATTAGCATATAATATCTAGACAAAAAATCGGATTTATAATAACTAAAATAAAAACCTGGATTTATTACCGGCTTTGGAAAAATAATATCCGTTATCCTTTTTATATCCGGATATATCCGGATTTTGTAATCCGGATTCAAAAATTGAACGGTGTCATCAAAATTTTGATTGATCCCAAATTTCAAAAGGTACGTACGTATTTCCCGATCGTTGTGCTTAGAATTTTTATTTGAAAGCTTGAAACCAGTAAGTTTGTTTCGTATTTTATTTATTATTTACGACAAAAATTTTATCGATATTTAAGTTGCGACATCAGTTAACATTTTAAATTGATCTGTTTATTAATCGTATTAGCAAATCTGTTAGCCATATCACAATAAATAATTTTGTTATATATAGTAACTTTTATATTTTATATTTTATTTGTTAATTTTTAGCATAAAAAAAATAGAGTGGCTTCTACATCTCTAGTGACCTGCGTTGCTTATGCACTGCGCTTATTACATTACCAATCTTACTAACTACAACCTTGATAAAAATATACGAGATCATTTTTTCAACAAACCCGTATTTTTGACCGTTTAACAAATCCTACTGTTACTATAGTATAGAAGCGATTTCACTAAAGTGTCCAGTTTAGCTCCGATAGAAGCCTGACTTGAGATTTATAACGATCGTAATAACTTGTGCATGTCATTAGTTTATTTAATCGGTTCGAGTTTATCACTTAATTAGATCAGATCATAATGATATAATAATAACAAGGGATGACAATATCGTTATTGCGAGAACGAGACTTATCTTTTTAAAGTTGACCTATAATTGTTATAATGTCATAAAAATAATATAGACCAAAATTATATCGTATTTTACACCCTTATAACTGTAGCGCTGGAACTCAATTAAGTTATTTTGAATGTAGACGAAGATCCTTAAGAGAAGCTATAAATTGTTTGGCAAATAAACTCATTCGTGTAGTGTAATTATCGCGAGGATGCTGTGAGGATATAGTTCTTATACGATATGCTGGTGGTCAATGAATAAGTCGAGTGAATGTATTAATCCATGTTTTAAAGCAAGAACAGTTGTAATAAAAAATATAGAAACATCATTTGGGTGACGGAGTATGATAATCATTTAATACATTATTATCGCAGTGATATGTACCCTAATTCTTATAGGGATAGATATCACTGCGATGATGATTTACAAGTTTTCATCACTCATTTAGAGTGATCTTTAGTATTTAAAGCTGAAAGGTATGTTTTTATAAAAATCATCATTGATTAATAATTCTACGCCACCTAAGACTCACGAGAAGGCATGAAAAATAAATATTATAATTAGGCCACGCAAACGTAAATTGATTTTCATAACCGACCGTGTCAAATTCTGTAAATGTTGAAAAAAAAAATTGTTTGTATTTATTACGTATCTGGGTGTGACTTATTAGATGTCTAAAAATTTTTTTTTTATATTATTTTGTGTATAAAATTTTTTGAAAACAAAATTAAATGCCGGATTATTGGGTTTTTTTTCAAATTTTATGTTATGAGAACCAAAAAATTAACTTTGTATGGCCTTTGTACGGAAATTATTAAATATTTCTATATTAATATAATTAATTTAAGAATTTGATATAATATGGTGAATGGTGAAGCGGATTACATTTATATGATTAAAATCAAAAAATTACTTAGGTATTTCGTTCAAATTTTATTATATTCAGCCGCCTACAGATTAAATGATGTAAAATAGACATTAATATACTGGAATACAATAATAATAAATGATAACAATTTAATCCAATGTGGAACAATGAATCCTTTGGACAAAAGTTCGGATAATTGGTTGTAAATTATTATGGCATGATTTATTTAAAATATGATTATGAGTCATTTTGTGGTTATTGCCGCATTTAAAATACGTATGAGTGAAATTGAATAAAGTACGCCACTGTGCGTCTCCATAAAGGAGTTAAAAAAAATACGTATGAATGCCGTCACACTCGGAAATTTCATTTCTCATGTATAAAGTTTCCTAGTTGAAACCAATAAGCGATTAAAAATTTTTACATAATATACAAAGTTTTTAGAAAACTTCAGTAAATACTTTTTTATTTAAACTAAACATTTTTTCTGTAAATATTTTTTTAAAAAAAAGAACACAATTTTCACAAAGAGCCATTATTAAAATATCTACCTTAAGAACATTAAATTATTGTTTACATAAAGATCTTTGTTATCTCTCAGATCTCTCAGAACAAATTAATTAATTTAATATGTTAAAGAGATTAAACGATTGTCCTTACGAACACCATTTACAAATGCTTTAAATTTCTTAGAGTTAAGTTTATTACCATCAAATTCTAAAGAAGTTAGTGTAGTGTTTACACAGAGAGCTTCAATTAATGCTTTTCTTGCTTCAACATTAAGTTGATTAAATCTGATGGATAAAGATATCAAAGCAGTGTTTACACAAAGTGCTTTTGCTAATGCTATGATCTCTTTAGAACTAGTTTGATTATCCCCAATGTGTAAGGTAGTTAAAACTGTGTTTTTACAAAGAGCCTCCGCTATTGCTTCAACACCCTCGGAACCGAGTTGATTGCCTTTAATAGATAAAGAAGTTAAAGTAACATTCTTACAAAGAAGATTTGCTATTGCCTTTCCTTCCTTAGGTCCAAGATAATTCCAATTAAGGTTTAAAGAATTTAATGTGGTATTCTTGCAAAAAGATTCTATTAATTTTTCACTTTCACCAAAATGAATTTTATTTGATGAAAGATTCAAAGATGTTAAAATTGTATTATTACAAAGAACTCTTATTAACATTTCCCATCCTTCAAAACCAAATTCATTACTAGAGAGATTTAAGGAAGTTAAAGAGGCGTTTATATAGAGAATATCTGATAATGCTTTTATTCCTACGGGCCCAATTTGATTATAACTAAGATCTAAAGAATTTAAGGCGGTATTATTGCAAAGACCTTTTGCTAATGCTTCTACACCTTCAGAACCTAATCGATTACCAGATATAGACAAAGAAGTCAGAGTGGTATTCTTACAAAGAACCTCAGCTAACACTTTTCCAGATTCAGGACCAAGAGAATTAAAAGAAAGATCTAAGAAAGTTAAATTGGTATTTATACAAAGAGCCTTTGATAATTCTTTTATGCCTTCAAAATCAATCATATTGGATCCGATATCTAGAGAAGTCAAAGTGTAGTTTCTATAAAGAGCCTTTGCTAGAGCCTTTACTCCTTCAAAACCAAGTTTATTGCAATGAATAAATAAAGATGTCAAAGTAGTGTTCTCTCCGAGTGCTTCGGCTAATGCTTTTCCACCCTCAGAACAGAGAGAATTATAATTAAGACTTAAAGAATTTAGTGTAGTGTTCTTGCAAAGAGTTTTAATTAATGCTTCTAATTTTTTAAAACCAAATTTATTACCAGAAATATCTAAAGAATTCAGCGTGATGCTTTTGTGAAGAATCTCTGATAACAAATTGGTTGTTTCAAAATTTTTAATACGAAATTTTAAGGAAATAAAAGTGTTATTTTTAAGAAGTCTTTGGAATAAAATATTATCGTAAATAGGTTCATAAATGCTTAAATGATTAATTTTTTTACTTGTGCGTAAAAACATTTCAATTAAAGAATATTTAATGACATTTACTTGCTCATTAAATTCTTTAATATCATAATATTTCAAATAACTATAATCATCATGATAATTATAAATATCATGATTCTTACAAAAATAAAGAAATGAATAATCTTCATTTCCTTCTTTAAAAAGCCAATTTTTAACTCCATCCTTATTTCGATTTGCAAAATACAATTCAACATATGTGGTAAAACTTGAGTATTCAAATAATGTTTTTTGATAAGTTGGAAGGGTAATTTTATAAGGAATTAATAAAGCTTGTTCTTCAGCATTTAATGCTGAAAGATATATTCTTATAAGTCTTAAATCGTCAACATATTTTGTTGGTTCACTCCATAATATTGGTATAATGATTCTACACCAGTGACGGTTTACAAGAAGG